AAAGTGGAGTGGAGCCCGTCCTCTCGGGTTGCAGCAGCAGCAGCAGCAGCAGGCAGGCAGGGAGGGAGACAGGAAGGGAGGGAGGAAGGCAGGCAGGCAGGCAAGAGTGAGAGATCTGAGGAGCTCTTGGGCAAGGGAGGCAGGCAGGGAGGGAGGGAGGGAGGGAAAGAGGGAGGGAGGGAGGGAGGAAAGGAGGGTGGGAGGGAGGGAAGCAGGCAGGCAGGCAGGCAGGCAGGGAGGCTGGGAGGCGGGCAGGCGGGCTGGGTTGGGAGCGCTGGGCTCCCCATATATGGCTCTGTCCCCGCCCCGCCGACGTCAGGATCTGACAGCGCTGTTCCCGTGGGTCTAGAGTTTTGGCTCCCGGGAAAGGTTCCATTCCTAGGGGAGAGAGGGCTGAGTTTTGTGCGCTTCCATCCATTCTGCGAGACGCTCAAGGCCCCTCCAGCCACCTCTCCTGTGTCCAGGAGCACCTCGGCGGTAATCATTTTTTCGTTTATTTGTCTTCTGGAGCAGGCGAGCCGAGCCAGAAGTGGTCGATTCCGCAGTGTCCGGAAGCTTTTTGGACGCCGCTGGACGGGCATGACACCACACTGAGGTCTCCCACAAACAACAACAACCACGACAATATTTATTCTTTTGCAAGACGCACATTTCCGGCGCCGGCGCCACCGCTTTTTGCCCCTTTTCTTTTCTTTCTTCCTTTTTCTTCTTCGTCTTTTTTAAAACAATCTTCAACAGCCGTAAAAATAACAGCCACCGCCGTAGCAGCAGCAGCAGCCGTCCAGGTTGCCCGGCGGCTGTGGGGTGCGGGCACAGGCTGCCCGAGAGGCGCGCGGAGCGGGCAGCTTCTATGTGGGGCCGGCCCCGGACACACTGAAGAAGGGAGCGAGGCTCGGAGCGGGCTCTTCTCCCGCCGATCGCACGGAGGGAACGAGGCGGCCCCGACACCCTTCCATTGCCGGCGCCCGGGAGCGAGAGCGCAGCGGGCAGGCGAGAGAACTAGCCCGAGAGGGGGAGACACCCGGAGTCCCCCGAAGCTGCCCTGCCCTGAGTCTCACCCCTTCTGGCCAGGAGCTGCCGCCGCCCCCGTTTGTGTTCATGTTTGGGATTCAGGAAAATATACCCAGAGGCGGGACGACCATGAAGGAGGAGCCGCTGGGCAGTGGCATGAACCCGGTGCGCTCTTGGATGCATACGGCTGGGGTGGTGGATGCGAACACGGCCGCCCAGAGGTACGCGTGCCCAGCGGCCGGCTGGGGTCCCCCTCTGTGCCTTCCCTTCCTCCCGCGTCCCGTGCCTCGTCTTGCCTAGCGGTCCCCTTGCCTCGGCTCCTTTCCCTTCCCTCCCCTCTCCTTCGCGGCTCCCGGCGCCCAGAAAGCCCGTTTGTCCGAGCTGCGGCTCGCTTCCCTCCCGCCTCCAGCCCGGCCACCTCGCAGCGCCTCTCCCCTGCTACCCCAAGCCGCCACACCGCTAAGGAGGAGGCCGAGGCCGAGGCCGAGGCCGAGAGGAGAGCGAGGCTGCTTTCCGACTCCCAGGAGCCGCAGCTGGGGCAGTCGCCCGCCCCAGCCCGGCCTCGGCAGTGCCCCTTCGTCCACCTCTCGCGGCCCCTTCCCTCCCTCGCTCCCGTCGGTGCCTCGGCAGTCCCTGCTTCCCAGCCCTTCTCACCGAGACGTTGTCTTGTTTTCTCCCGCAGCGGTGTGGGGCTGGCTCGGGCACATTTCGAGAAACAGCCGCCTTCCAATCTGAGAAAATCCAATTTTTTCCACTTCGTCTTAGCTCTGTACGACAGGCAGGGGCAGCCGGTGGAGATCGAAAGGACAGCTTTTGTGGACTTTGTGGAGAAAGAGAAAGTAAGTTGGCTGCAGTTCGCCGGTCCGGGGTGGGGTGGGGGTGGGAGCCCAGTTCAAGCTGGCTGAAATTGATCAGGGATCATTTTCACTGAGCCAAGCCCTGGGAAGCCCTAAGTACTCCAGAGGCGCCTGGACCACGTGTAGGCGGGCAGGCGAGCAGGCAGGCGGGCAGGCGGGCGGGCGGGCAGGCGGGGTGGCGTCTCCCTGCTTGCCGAGAAGCAGAACAGGCGCTCGGCCTCTGCAAACCGAGCCGAGCCGGGCCAGGCCGGGTCGAGCTTCGTGTCCTCAGGAGGCAAGGAGGAAGGGAAAGGAAGGAAGAAAAAAGGAAGGAAGCAAGCAGGCAAGGAAGGAAGGAAGGAAGGAAGGAAGGAAGGAAAGAGGTCTGGAAACTTAGCAGGGTCCCCTTCGCCTCCTTCCTTGAGCCCGAGAGAGCAAAAAGCAAGCTGAGGTTTTGTACCAGGAAAAATGACATCACCAGTGTTTCCCAAAGTGGTTCAGCTAGGGAAAGATTGAGCCCTTGGTAGGCTGGGGGACTTCGGTCCTGGAGACGAAAGGCAGGCTAGGCAGCAGGAGGAAGCCGCCTGCCCGCCCTCTCAGAGCATTTCTTTCTCGTTATTTCCAGGAGCCGAACAACGAGAAAACCAACAATGGCATTCATTACAAACTTCAATTGTTATACAGTAACGGTGAGTAAGTAGCCGCTGCCACTTCCCTGCCCCGCCTGCACCCCTCGCTGGTCCTCCCTCTTTCTCGGGCTGATTTGAAAGGGTATAAAGATTTGGAGATGAAAATTACATGGATGTAAACACGAAATCTTCTCATGGCATAGAAGGAAAACAAAACAGAAGCGATCGATAAGTCGATGGCACTTCACGTGATTAACCGGTTGGTCTTGAAGTAGAAAGTAAAAAGGGAGATCGATATCTGCCCCAGCACAACATCACTTTTAAGTGACTTTTTTCAATTTTGCAAATTAATGTTAATTATTGGGATGAGGGTACTTCCATAAAGCCAGGCATAACTTACTTCTGTGCACCAGGAGGGGGAAAACTCAGGAGATATATCAGAAACAGGGAGAAGACGACTTTGGGATTTTTAACTTCTTGCTGGTCTATTTTGCAAAAATCAAAGCTCACATTGAGGGACCTCCAGAGCAGAGCAATCTGCCCCCCAAAGCTTGCTTGGCAGGGGAGCGTGCCCCAGACTCCCAAAATGCCAGGGTTAAAGTGTTTGAGGGTTTCACCAATTAAGGAGTAAGGCTTAACCATCCTGGTCTGTTACTGAAATTGTCCTAAATTTGGAAACAGCTTGGGAGCAGCGGGAAATTGACTAACTTCATCTATCTATTACACCCTTCCAGGGCTTTCCTTCTCGTCATTCTGATGAGCCTTTCTCTCTCTCTTTCTCTCCATTTTTTTTTTCTTGCAGGAGTTAGAACAGAACAGGATTTGTATGTTCGTCTAATAGACTCGATGACCAAACAGGTGAGAAAATTTCAGTTTTACAGCGGTCTGAACTACTGTGCTTGTCTTTTCCCCTCCTTCCCTAGTCAAGGGCCCCATTTTATTTGCTTTTTTCGTTTCGTTTCCTTGACGGACTAATTAGAACACCATATTAATTGGGATATTTGTAGAGAGCGGGGGAATCGTTTCTGGAGTTCCTGGAGCAAAGCTCTATGTATTTATTAAGGGGTCTGTTATTTGAGCCAAATTTTATCATAATGAATTTTAGTAATTAATATTGGACAGGAGAATGCTACTCTGCCCCCTCCCCATTTGTGCCTAATGTTCTCTCCATTTAGAGAATGAATTCCTTTCCCTGGATTTTTTTTTTCCATAACAAAGGCAACTCTTTTCCAAAGTCCTTCCAATTGGACTTGATTAGCTCCTTTTTTTTTTTTTTTCTGCTCCTGTTCCAATGTGATGGTCTAGTAACAGGAGACGTTTGTTTGGATTTAAAAGTTAAATGTGTTGAGGTGAAAAGTCATCTTGTTCTCCTCTAGTCCATACTCACCTCTCAGCCCCCCATCTCCATAATTCAAACTCTCAGCTCCAGGGGTCACCCACAGTCGTCCATTTCTCTGAGACCAGCCTCCGTTTGTCATAGCTTGTAAATAACAGAATCAGGAGCAGGTTCTTATTAAATTATTGAACCTGTCTTGGCCAACTTTTCCGATGCTCACTAGAGTTATCTGTAGAACTCTCCTGGAACTGAATCCAGGGAAGCGTTGTTGCTTTTGTTTTTTCTGAATGTTCCACTTCTGTGGAAGTGGGGGGGGGGAAGGGAGGGCTTCCCCTCTCCCCATCCAGCTGCCTCTTTTTCTTTTAAAGAAACATTTTTTTCAGTTTTGTCCGCTAACGTTTCTAAGAAGCTTAGCCCAATATGTAGCCGCAGACTTTCTTCCCCCTCCATTTAAAACGCCCTTCCAAGTTGGAATTCCTGCTTGGAAGGAAGAGAAGCACCTTCAATTTGGAGGCTAACTTGAAGAATTCTAAGCTAGATAGAGAAGACTTGTGTATCCTATCCATTCTGCCTGCACTTAGGTTTCGGGCTTTATTTCTCTTAAAACTAGTTTAGCCTTCCCTTAGCACCCTATCGGGTCAGCAGTGAATGCCTGTAGGGTTAAGTAAGGCAGCCCGGTCTTCCCGGAGAGTCTGGCAGTCAGGGCAGGCACTGCGCCCGGCTCAGACAAAGAGCAGAGGCGGGTCTTGCTTTCTGGGGGTGTCCGGAGGCCCCCTCCCCCTCTCGGTCCGGGGTGCTCCGGCAAGGCCACTGTGGGCTGCTCTCCTGGGGAGAGAAAGATCAGCTAAATGTTTTCACAAATCTCTGCCTCCTCATTGAGAGCCTTCTTTCTGTCTGGCAGCTCCAAGTTTCCCGGCTGCTGCAGAAAGAAGCTCGGGCGAGCTTCCCTCGTTAAGGACACTTTTATTGTTCGTCCAGCGGAGCCCCCCCCCCCCCCCCTTTCCTAACCTTTGCTGGATAAACAGCGCTGAAAATCAGGGCATTTAATCTCCCTTTACTGACGGGGGAAAAATCTCCCAGTAACTGATCAAAGAGTCAATGGCGCTGAACCGACAGTTCATGGATTTCTGTTTGTGCTACAAAATAAAAAATAAATCAAATATAAATACGGGGGTTCATCAGAGGGGAGGAACAAATGGCAGAAGGGATGCTGCGGCGCCTAGAGCCTGCTGGCAGCGGTCAGGCATCAGGCCGCCTGCCTGCTGGCAGCTAGGGAGGGGCGCAGAGCCTTTCGGGGGCGCCCCAGTTAATATTTGGGTACAAAGCTGCTTGGGGGTGACGAGAGCCCAGACCCGAGGGGCTCCCTGGGGGCCCAGGCCAGACACTCTGAAGTCTCCTCACCTATTTTTGTCCACCCTAAAGTGAACCCCAAGCGTCAAGAGTGCCTGGAAAGGTTCGAAGTCATTTCCAGCTAGTTTCCAGGGTGGCGGCTTTGGCCGATAGCGAAGGGAAGCAGGCAGCCAGGCAGCCAGGCAGCCAGGCAGGCAGGCAGGCAGGCAGGCAGGCAGGCAGGCAGGCAGGCAGGCAGGCAGGCAGGCAGACAGGCAGGCAGGCTTCCTCCTCTCCGCCTTCCTGGGGCATTTGCTGCAGGGAACTGACTAGCTCCAGTCCTCTGCCCTCGCCCACTCCTTCCAGCTTCTCTCAGTTCTTAACCTTCCTTTTCCTCTGAGCCTCTGGCCCCTTCCTTTTGCCCCGCGCCCGTGGTTTGGGCTTGGTTTGTCCTCTGAGAAGTTCGCTACGGGGGCAGAGAAAGGCTGCAGCGGGCGCGGAGGTGCTGGGGGCCGGGGCCGGGGCCGAGAGCAGCAGGCGGGCAGGCAGGACGGCCGGCTGTCGGCCTTGCAGCCTCAGCAGCTGCAGGAGAAGCGATGAGGGGTGGGGGGGAAGGCTCAGGCCGGCAGGCTGGGCAGCTTCCCAGCCCGGCCCGGCAGGCAGCTTCAGGGCGGCCAAGAAGGCGGCTGTCACGGGCCCCGGCGGCTAGGCTGGGGCTCTCCAGAGGACATCCAGGCTTTGAAGGAGGGGCGGGGGAGAAGGTAAGCAGGGAGTGGGGTGCGCAGGCAGACAGACGGACAGATCGACTGACGCGGAGGCTCTGCGGAGGGCTGGTGGGGAGAAGCAGCAGAGGGGCTGAAACACGGGCAAGGCAGACTGGCAGGGAGGGAGGCAGGGATCGGGCATCCGGAGGGGCAAGGGGCGGGGGGCTACCCGGGGAGGCCGGTCAGGCAGAGCGCGCCCCCAGTCTGGGCAGGCGACCGAGTGAGGGACGAGGCGCACCTCGAGTTTCCCACCATCTGTTAGAGTCCATGCTCAAAAGCTACTCAAGCGTGGGCCCAGACACTGCCGCCTTTTTACCCAAGAAAAATCATTGTTAGCAGTTTCAAAATAAACACCAGATTGGCCATTAGCACTTTGTTCCCAAATATCATCCGATAATAACCACATTGCTGGCGCGAGCTTCTGGGGTTCCTCGGGGTGTTTGAGGGCTTTGGGTGGTGGGCTGGGTGGGCTTCCCTCTCGAAAACAGTTCCTGAGGTAGGTACTCCCACCAGACCCTCTACCTGGGTGCCCTGCTCCGTGCGCTCTGAGAGCGCCGCCGCTGGTGCGACTAGAGCCCAGCAGGCCCCAGTACTTGGGTGCGACCAGCTCTGGGGATCCGTAGGGGCGCCCCGCACCCCGTCTGCCTGCCTGCCTGCCTGTCTGTTCGTCTGTCTGTGGCAGTGGCTCAGCAAGGTTGGCCCAGGCCTGACGATGGCAAGGCAGTAGCTGGCCACTTTTACAGGCAGCCTGGCGGCTTTGGCGAAGACAGGCAGGGATAGATAGTCCATGGCTGCCCAAGCAACGAAGACCCCGGGGGCAGGAAGCCTGCATTGCCTCAAAGCTGGGCAGGGGGAGGGGGAGGAGGAAATGTGTGCTGCGGCCAGGAGAGATTCCCACCTCTGGATAATTTCAGCTGGTGTGAGCAAAGGTTCAGAGTCGCAATTCGAACTTGGGAGAGGCTGAGCCCTGCGAACGGGGATTTCTCAGCAGTGCTCTTAAACCAAAGCAAAGCAGAACACTACTACTACAACAAAACCCAAACCGAAAACCTGCCCCGCCCGGGCCAGGCCTGAGCAGCTCCAAGGTGACGGCACTAATGTTTCCTTTGGTGCTGTTAGTTAATCCAAACCCCAGGGGGTGTATAAAGTATACTACTAATGCCTCTAATTGGAATAACATGTTACCACAAAATTGTTTTCCTATCTTAAGTATTTTCCCCTCTTTCTCGGAGGTGCGGTAGTAGCAGCATTTCTGCCTGAGCTCTTACAAAATGTAAATTGAAAAGCAGCTTAGACAATGGCCACGCCGTTCCACCCAAGTGGAAGGGGGCCCTATCCAAGTGGGTCCCCGCAGGGAAAGGCTGCGGGCTGCAGAGGCTGCAACGACCAGGCACGCATGCAAGCATGCAGAGGGCGGGCGGGGCCAGGGCTGGCAAGGAAGCGAGGAACTGCAGCCTGAACAAGTTGATTTGCAAACATTTTTTTGGAGTAAACTTTCTCTCTGATGCCGGTGGGAACGAGGCGACTGTTGGTTACTCGGCTCAAATTTCCAGCCCGGGAGACCAAGGAGAGGTAAAACGCCTCCAATTAGGAGATCTGAATTTTCAATACCAACAAGGAAATTTCGGGTACTGTCATTCTTCTGGAGTTGGGGGGCGCTGGCTGAGCAAAGGACTGAAGGGAACCTGGCCTTCCCCCAGCTCCGGCCTTCTGCCAGCTCGGGCTGACTCTAGGACTCTTCTTCCTTTCCGTGGCAAAGAGGGAAAGAGAAGGGGAGAGAAGGGAGAATGAGAGAGGGACCAAACCGTGGTGTTGACAAATTGGCCCTTGACAGGTAACTAAAGTGTGAAATAGAGAATTAAACATTGCGTTTTCTTACTTAAAATTTTAATGCTCTCCACGTGCCACGTGCACCTGCCAGAGAAGGGAGGAGGCCTCCGCCTTCTTCTGCCTTCTTTCTCCCTCCTTTCTCCCTTCTCTTCCTTCCTCCTCCTCTTGCAGCAAATGCATGTTGGAAACGCGCAGAGAAAAGCCCAGCTCCGGGGACCGGGACCCCGACGGGGCGGGCAGTTTAGCCCTGATCTGACCCAGCTTTTCCCTTCTGCGTCCCATGGTGTGCTCTGGCTGTGCCACCAGGCCTGGATCCCTGCGTCCTAACAGCCCCTCTCTCTCCTTGTCTCGCGCAGGCCATCGTGTATGAGGGGCAAGACAAGAACCCCGAGATGTGTCGCGTGCTCCTGACTCACGAGATCATGTGCAGGTGAGCGAGCAGCTGGGACAGGAGCGGGAAGCCCCCGTGGTGGTCACACCGAGGTCAGCGTCGGGCTTTCACTGCCCCTGGACGGGTCGCGCCCTGCTCCAACAACCGTCCCTGGAGGAGCCCAGCTCCGCGAGTTTGCGCTCTCTGCGCTGGCCCCCTAGGGCCGGGGCTTGGGCCCCACAGTTTCGGGGCAACTCCGGGGCCTGGGGTCATATGAGCGCCCTGCATTCTTTTCTCTGATTCTCTGCCTTCCCTGGGCTTTGAGCGAACCACTGGCCTGAACAGCAGGATGAGTAGAGACCCTCTGAGCATTTCGGCTAGGGACGCTGACTCTTGAGGCCGCCCGAATTGGCCGTGCTCCTGCGGCAAGCATAGTCCAAAATGGAAACCGGCCCTGGAGGAGGCAGGCCAAGAGGGGATTGGGGGGTGAGGGTGGCTGCTGCCAGAGGAGGCCGCGGTCCCTACCTTTCCCCCACTCTCCTTCCCCCATTCCCTTCCTCCCCTCCATCACTGCCTCCCTCCCTCCCTCGCAGCCCCAGCCAGGCAGGCCCGAGGTGATGGGCGCTTGTCTGTTATTGACAAAAAGGAAACTCTTTTGTCCTTATTACAGGGCTCCTGTATGTGCGAATGGGATTGTGCTCCTCTCAGTTAACCTCTTCCCTGGAGCAGCGATGCATTGTTCGCATTGTTGTTAGAGAGCACGCACGTTGCTCGAGATCTGTGTCAGAAGAGCAATTTCCCACCTGTTTTTTTCCTAACTACCGCAAGAGTTTCACCCCTACATGGCAAATAAAAATGCATCATTGACTTTGTATGTGTGGCATGTGAAATATAGTTGCAAGGAATAATCAGGGAGGCTTTGCCTGCTTGCAGGCTCCAGTAACAGGCTGTAGACTCTAAGGGGCATCCTCTTCCTTGCTATGGCGTGCACTGCCTCGGTGCCATTTCTGAGCAGACGTATTGTTACAGCACTAATATACAAAAGCTGACTTTTTCTCATATCAGGTAATAAATATAAATTACAACCAATAAAGTGGAATTTCTTTATTATCCACTTCTGCATGTTCTGCAATTAACATACAGAGTGCACAGATGTGATTTAAGCTGTAAGTGGAAGACTGTAGACTTTCTTTAATCACTTTAGCTGTCAGGTTTAAAAGGCTTTATATACTTTGCCTACCATATGGTGTTAATTTAGCTAATTTAGACATGTAACCATTATACAAGTATGCTTTTTTAAAATGCAAGTAGCATAACATTTTTGTTTCATTTCTGCTTTAATTAAAGTTCCAAGAATGGAGTTAAGGTAGGCTTAAAGAAGGAACAATGGAAGTTTGCGAGAGCCTGATGCATGCTTTTGTGGTTATAATTAATAAATGCCCAAAAGAAATATTGGTTGAAGGTGGCATCTTGCATCTTTCCCAGAAATAACAGCTTGACAATTAGAGGTAAACAAAAGCTAAGGCTGTGAAAAGTTATTCCCAAGCCTCCTGCCTTTCCTTCTTCTCAGTTCACTGCAAAGACAAACACCACAACATGGTTTCCATATTTTAGCATCCCAATTTATGTAGTTGTTTCTGAGTAGCTCCCTCAGCCTATTCGGGGTAACTGTGCTCAGCTTTGCACCTTCAGGAAAAAAAAAAGTTGAGTTGCTAGTATTGATGCCAAACAGTTGCACTTGTGAAATTTATTTTTGGGGAAATATATATATATATATATATATACACATATATATATATGTATATGTATATAAACAAATATAAAATGCCTATTTGGTTAACTCCTACCACTGTACTGTGAAGTATTGCTCCAAATGCTCCCCTAAGCCAGGAAGAACTGGTCATATATTAAGACAATTCTTTTTAATTGATCAACAGCCGATGCTGTGACAAGAAAAGTTGTGGCAATCGAAATGAGACCCCTTCAGACCCTGTAATCATTGACAGGTAAGAACGGTTTCTCTTTTCTCTTGTGATGCCTCTCTCTGCTTTGCTTTTGGAAAAAACAAACAAATAAACAAACAGGCAGAGAGACAGAAAAACTTTGCTCGCCTTGGTCTCCAGATCCTCCGTGGTTTTCAGCCTGCTATTGAGTTCATTCTGTGCACTGCACCATTTGTTGTCTTCTTGTGTTATCATGCACAGGTGGGTTGACTTGGAAACCTGGTGGTTCACTCTGTGGGGATTCGGTAATTGCTAGCGAGTTGTCAAGGGAAGCAGTTTCATCTGCCACTGCTCTCACTGTGAGCAGCACTTTATGCCTAGAGAGTTCCTGGCTTTAAACCCAGAGATATGTCATAAAATGCTTTTTGCTAATTTGTTAACAAGTATTTCATTTTTGCATTATTTTTGTCATGTGCATTGTCCTGAGTGGAGACCTGGGCAGGAGCGCCGTCATTGTGACTTAGCCTTAACATGGATTTATTCTACTATCAATTAGTTTCGAAATATATCCTAATTTTTCTTCAATTGAGGATGTCATTTGATGTCAAATAGCAAATATGTAACTAACAAACCAAAGTCGTTATAAGTGAAACGAAAAGCACTTGCTAGTGATTGATTTCTCACATCAGTTTGGAAAACTCAGTTACCTTAGGCTATTCTTTGTGCTTCTCATTCCCCAGTCTGCTGTTTTCTGGATTCCAGTGACAAAGTTGCATTTTTTCAGGTGCTGGTTATGTGCAGACAGTGGCTGTTGTGTATTTGGGATCACAGAAAGAGCTTGCAGGCAGTGGTGGTGTTCACGACAGTGGCCTGGGTAGCAGGCCGAGTGCTTGACAAGATGGTGGCAGCTTCCAGGCTAGTAGGGCCTCGGTTGGAGCTTTGGAAATTGGTACTGTCCTCCTCTAGCCCGTGGGAGGTGTACATAGGACACCGGTTTGGTGAAAGGGAGGTTTAGTCTGTTTGGAAGAAGGGTTGGATTTCAGCAGCTTTCATTACAAAGTTATCTTTTGATCATGAACTTTGCTGTCCAGTGCCTGAAAAATTAAACCCAGAAAAGTCCATGAGTTAAGCCTAAAGAAATATGCCCCACCAGTGGAGAGCAATGCTAATGTTTAACTAGCTGAAATAGCTGTTTGCTTAACGGAGAATGTTCGGTATCTGACAGAAGGGACATCTCTCTTATTAGTAATCAAATAAGGCTGACCAGTTGTTGCCATCACTCTGAGATTGTGTCAGGAAATGGAGAACAAGTTCAGCACTTTATAGAACTCCAACGACGAGAATCAATATAATTATATTTGTCTTTAGTGTTTTAGCTCTGGAAGTCATAAAGCCAGTCATTGCTGCCTTGCGATTGGGTTTCTTTTCTTTCTTGTTCTTTTTCCTTTTCCTTTTTTTTTTTTTTATTGGCTAAAAGTGTTTAGCAGTATTGGAATCTCCTTTGAATAGATGATGCTTTGAGGACAGGCACCCAATGTTTTTAATATAGATTCATGGATGTATTTCATCTTTCAAGACGTTTCAAATGTATATGACATATAGAAACTTAGAAGTTTATTTGCTTTGAAAATGGGGAATTTTTGCATACCACAAAATATTGAGTTGAGAAGATGATTCAAGCCTTTTTTCAGGTTACAGGGTTGCATCAGAAGTCAGTTTGGATTTGAGGAACACCGTCGATGTGCACTGGCGTTTGATATTAATGCATTTTATCACTTTATTTATGATATTTTTTTATGACACAAGACAATTTTTTTAGCTAATAGTGGAAAAGACCCATCCTCCCCAGCTGTTTTTCAGTGAATGAATGGAATTCTTTTTATTTGCAATCAGAATGAATTAATTAAAATATATAGGCTCAATGTCCTGTACTCCCATAAGCTAAGAGAACTGTGTTATCATTTGATATTCTAGAAGCACTAGAAGAGGGGGGAAATAAAAAAAAAACATTTGGTTAATGGGTTTACCATGTTTATTTGAATAAGGAAGATTGAAACTCCATTTACGCCTGGCATAAATGCTTTAGAGAGCTTAATTATTGATGAAAAATCTGCTCTGCTTCTAAATTTAAAGATATGACAATTTTATAGGAATTTTAATCACCTCCTGCATTAGGAATTTTAAGGTAGGGATAGTTTTTATGGAATGAAAACTGGAACTTGCATATTTAGCATTCTGAAGAGAGCTGTCATTTATAGCGACCAAATACTATTAACATTTGGCTGTGTGTTGTAAATCCCCAAGAAGTGATTTTTCGGCATTGCTACAATCTCCAGTTCGAGGTACATTTTTGAAAAGTTGAAGAATTTAGTGTTCATTAGGGCAAATGGGGGTAAAAATCAGGGAAAGAAAATGAGACTTTTTTGGAAGGCAGCTCTCTCCTTAGTGAGGGACTTCTGTAAATGCAATATTTTGAGTTCTGGCTGATGGTGGTTTTTAGAGTTCCTGGTCCCGCCTACAATCCATTGCTCCTGGTGCAAGCCTGAGCTATGTTCATTCTTGAGCATCATAGAATAGGACAGCCCATCCGATTGGAGGCTCCCATTCACAGGCCTGCATCAGCTAAGGCATCTCTGGGTTATTTGGCTTAGGAGAGATGTGCCACCCAGTCAGTCCTACGGGTCTTTAGATCCATCTAGGAGGTTTTGACCAGATAAAGCAGATCTGTCCCGAGGATATGAACCAATAATTTAAACTTGAATTGAGATCAATGGGCCCATTTTTGCTGGAGCTCACGTTAATATTCCTCCTGTAAGTCAGAGGTAGTTTGGTTTTATTTTGTTTTGGGCTTCGGAGAACAGAAAAGAAAGATCCAGTCTCTTTCTAGGGTAATCACATTCTATAAATTGTAAATGCCTCTCATCAATTCATTACATAATTTAGTTTAGTTATCTTTTGGAAGCATTCCATTCAGATGGAAGGCCCTTCAGATAATCTACAATACTACCCCCACACACACACCCCAAAAAGGGGGGGGGAGAAAAAGTTAAAATGCACCCCATTAGAAAATCCTTTTAATTTATTATAAATGTTCCATTGGCTAAAATTATTTTTTCTCATTAAACAACGCTAGAAATATAACTTCTAATCATGCCTTAAATATCATTCTACTCCAGCATATTTTAAATGACATTATAACCAGTGTGGGAAAAAAAACACAAAGAAATGAAACAGAAAATTGTATAGTAAGAAAGTGTGGTTAAGAAAGGATGGCCCTGAATGAGATTCTCTGGTCATTTTGATTGACCCAGAGAGAAGTTCAGGAAGGCCTTTCACTCTCCTCTTTGTGGTCTTGGTGCAGAGGATGGGAGGGTCATTTTCATAGCAAAATCATGTTTTCTGGGAAAACACCAAAGCAGATGGTCTTCATTAGGGACACCCACCCATTGTCTCCGCAGCCCAAGGATGACTAGATAAATCTCTCCTGTTTCGCCCGTACATTCCAAGGGCTGCAAGTGATTACAAGATGATGCTTCGAAGGCCGGAGGACCACACTGGGGGCACAGGTCCTCTTGCTGGGCCGTCCCCAGCTAGTTTTTTCCTAGAACCAAGGCAAATTCTGGGGAAGGTCCATCCTCTTGACTTCCTTCTCCCTTGTCTGGCTGCTGTGCTGGGAAGGCTTGGGGTCCAACTGTTGAAGACTGAAAAGAATGATTGTGGAAGAAGCCGACAAGGCTAGATTACATTACTATCAAAACATTCAGCGGCAACTCAGTCCCTGGCTTGGGAGCCATGGCAGGCAGGCAGGCAGGCAGGCAGGCAGGCGGGCGGGCAGAGAGCTCCAAGCCTCAGCCTGTGCGCACAGCACACGGAATGGGCTTGCCACAGCCGTGTATTCCTGATGGCATGCTCGGCAGTGCTTTTCCAGATGGTCCTATCACAGGCAATACTGCTAGTTGGCATCTCTGTGGGTAGTAAATGCCCCCTCCCCAATAAATCTGGCATTATTCTATAGAGTTTAGGAGACTTATCATTCCAAGTGTGTCCTACTTTCCTGCATGGAAGCCAGACATCTGTTTATCCCATTTTCTTTCATACAGAGTTTGGAAGAGTCGGAGTTGGGAGTGGGAGGGGGGGATGGTGGGGGAAGAAAAGTTTGGTCATATTTAACAGCTGTTACAAAATTTCAACCCCGTGGGCTCTCAAAATACTTTTCAGCTGACCTCAGATTTTATCCACAATTGACATCGGCTTGTAGGAAAGGAGTGTTTACTTAACCCGCCTTGTGTTTGAGGCCATGTTGTCTGGGGGGCAGTTGGGCAGACCAGTGGGGGACCCAGGCCGGAGCGGGGCCCTCGGACTGTCACCGCTCTTTGGTGGGCACCTCCAAAAGGTGGGGGGGGGCAGGGAGCCCAGACTGATTGGAGTTCTTGGGAGTCCACAGGGTTGCCTTTCACTTCCTGTCACAAAGGTCAAAGAGAGCTGCCCTTTGCTGGCAGGCCTGGCCGCTGAATTATTCATGTCATTGACTTTTTGTCAGCGTTCTCAGTTGCGCTCTGGGACATTTTATTCATTTACCTCATTTAAAGCGCCTTCCTGCACCTGTTCAAGTATTAATATCGTGTAATTTGGGCCTAATGCCGATTTTGCTGAACACTCATTATATTTTTTATTAGCTATATTTCCAAACGATTATGTATGATTATTACCGAGCCTTACAAACAGCGCTGGGCTATTCCCTAGACCTTTACATCTCCTTGTCAGGTTGTTTTCAGAAGCAAGAAGGATAAACATTTGACCAGTCCCAATGTTTTTATTCCAACTCCATGGCCAACCAGAGAACTCCAAGCCTTTTCCCTTATGGCTTTGCGGGAGCGTGATTAAACCCAGCCCCGCAGACACTGTACAAATGCCAGCGTTTATAAGGTCAGCGCTTTTGTTAAAAACGCTATGTAAATGAGGATCTGCAAAAAGGGACATTAAATAAAATTAAATTCATTGTCTTCTTTAATGCCATTTACATTTTGGCTAAGCCCGGGCCTGTCAAGGAGGATTTTTAAAAT